GTATAATTATTATAGTTTTTAGGGGTATAAAATTTAATATATATATATATATATATAAATATAACTATTATAGTTAATATTTTGGGGGTATAATTATTATAGTATATATAATTATTATAATTATTATAGTTAATATATATATATATATATATATAATTATTATAGTTTTTAGGGGTATAAAATTGTTAAATTAATATCTATAATCATTATAGTATTTTTTTAGGGTTATAAAATTATTAAATTAATATTCTGCTTATCGTGTATCGTGTTACCCACGTGTATACCCGAACCAACCTGTTATCTTAACATGTGCTTATCGGGTTACCCGATAACGACCCGTTTCGTTATCGTGTCGACCCGAACACCTGTTAATTTCGTGTCGTGTCGTGTCGTGTCGGGTTATTGGGTCGTGTCAGGAATTGCCAGGCCTAGTGTGATCCCTGACCTCCAAAATCATGTAGAGATAAGAAACAAAAATAAAAGGTATTAAAAACTGTAATAAATTTATTGCGTTAATAATGATTATTTCTTTTATATTGTTAGTTTTTGTTGGATTATATTATGGATCAAAAAAATTGGGACAAGTAAGGTTTTACCTTTTTTGAGATAATTTTGTTTGTGGGGATCGGATTAGGACCTAAACTCTAGATACAATAGATAAATAAGTAACTTGGGCCCAATTGTGCGGGCTCGCGCTAGCACTCCCATAATTTTGTCGATGGAACATCAATGTTCAATTTGTTGGGTAAGTTATGATATACTCAGTTGGATCCTTATTAAGAACATATGCAAGTTGATCTTACAACTTCATGAATGACAAAAAAAAAATAATCCAGCTTCTAATTTGACCTTGATGAAATATCTATCAAGCATCAACTTCAACATGTTTATTCTGATCACATTGAACTGAAGTGTGTGCAACCACGACTTTATTATCATAATAAAATTTCATGGGACTTCCAAGTCTAAAATCCAACACAGATAACAAATTACAAATCCACAATAATCATAAATACCAAGTGGCATACCCTGTAACTTAGACTTAACACTTGGTCTTACTACAATATTATGTTTCTTGTTTCACTAGGTACAAATTGCATAAACAAATATGAAATAACCTGAAGTAGGACGTCTATCAATGAATGAGTCTACGTACCCAATCTACATCTATGTATCCAATGACATTTAAATGTCCATGTCTTGGACTTAGAAACATAAGCACTAGGTTAGTGCAGACCTCATATATTTTAGTATGTGATTGACGACCTTATAGTAAATACTAGTAGCACGCATGTAGTTGTTGAAAACACTCAGTATTGTACATAAATATCATGGAAGATCTTCTCCGTCCCCGGAGGATTCTTCAATCTTGGCCATTCAAAAGAAAATATCTTTAATCTTAGCCGTTCAAAAAAAAATTTTGAACGGTCAAGAAAATGTTTGACACCATCGGAATAGGAAGTTGCAATGGCAGCAGCGGCCATCGTATCCTTTGCATCAAAGCCCCAACAATGTGTTGACGGTGGGAGGGGTTAAGAGGGGGGCGGAGGTGGAGGAGACAATGGCATCGTCAGGATCAATGGCTTCGCAGTCCTATTCGAGGCAAGGTTGCGATCGTCGCTTCACAGACCTGTTCTAGGAAGAAGAAGCTGTGATGGCTTCACAACTGTGCCGGAGGCAAGGCTTGCAGCCAATTTTCAAGATTCCGAGGATCCAGATGTAAGGGATCCGAAGAGTATCATTTCCCTGCCTCATGAGGAATAAGTATATATTAATCTTCTCAAAAGCGTTGTTGTTATTTGGTACCTAATCTTCTTGCTCACACAATTTTTTTATCCATCTCAATCAGAGTATTGTGGATGCAAAGTTTGTATGGTTGGATTGATGAAACCACACATACAAAATAAGAAGCATTAGTAGCCTAATTGATGAACTCTTAGAGAAAATGGGGGAGGGTATCCGAAAAATGGTCTTCGATGCCCAAGCTAGAAATAGTTGAAAGAAACTATATCATCATAGAGAATTATAATTAGTAAGTAAAGATTACCTATTTCTTTGTTTAACCTGGCTATTTATAGGAGAGATTTTTGCAGGCAACTAGGAAGTAAGCTCACATGCCATACTAGGTAGGCCTCTATGTTTTGCTAGTGTGGTGCATACCACACCCCGCTGGCATCTACATGAAGTACCTAATGGTAGGCCTCTAGCATGTTGATGCGCCAGAGTGCACGACACGATTTTGAAGAGTTAACCTCTGCTACATTGAGATAGGAAAGGCATAATGGCAGGAATGGGGATATCATAAGCCCAAAGGACGTATTGATTGCATATGAACCCAAAGGCTCATGACCTATACAACAGCCATAAGCTTTGCCCTTTAGAGCAAGTCCACCGGGGACTTTTAGGCCGGCACCCAGCACCCAACCTAAGCTGGTCTCTAGGCGCGTGCGAAACATGCACACGTGGCCACGCGCCCCAACAAGAAAACGTGAGGGTGGCAGCCAACGTAGGCACACTTAGGGATTTAATAGGGAGGCCACATGTTTGTTTCTGAGCTGTTGGATTTCCAACAGCTAGTTTTCTGGACCGTTGGATTTCCAACGGTAAAAAAAGTTTGAATTTGACATCCAACGGCTAGTGACGTGGCTTGATCTGGACCGTCTGATCTAGAGATCAATGGTCCACGTTTATTTTTTTTTTTTTAAAAAGGCACAACAGTCAGAATTATGACCGTTGGCCACGTGTCAACGTATAGGCTGTTGGATTTGAATCTTTTTTCATATCCAACGACCCAGATTAATTAACTAAATTAAAATTAATAAACGAGAAATGTGGAGTAAAATTACAAAAGCGTTTTGCGATGTACATGGAAAAGACACCAGAAGTAGTCAAGGTCTTCAAGGTCGTTGCAAAAAACTCACGCATCCTTTACTTGTTGGAAAAACGCTATCTCTCATACTTCGGGTAATCTGCGTAGTGGTACAAGTATAGCAGATTAGGTCACAATATTTTTATTTATTTATATGTATTCCACCCGCATCAATATTTTAATTTATTTATTTGTGTTACACCCGCATTTTATAATATTGTCTTATCCCACATTTATAGACACTACAAGCACAAGCATTTTACAATGCGAAGAACCATAACAAATCATTCAACAAATGGGAATGTTGGCAAATTGTCAAAGATTGTCCCAAATACAGAATTGTGGCAACCAGTCCATAAGGTGTCATGCACGACATGTGTCTACACAGTTCGTTAAAAGCAGACACGGTCGAACAGGAAGAAGACACGACCGCATATAAAGAATACACATTTGAAGAAGTGTCGGAAGGGATGCCCGAAGAAGTGACGAAGACCTAGGCGACTCGTTAGTCCTTAAGGCCTCAAGGTAAGAAGGCGGCAAAGAAAAAAGGGAGTTCTTCCAAAAATGACTACACAAAATATATGGACGAACCTGCGCGCCAAGGTGAACTGAACATGGCGCGGGAAGCGGCTAGAGATGAGGAAAAAGTTGCTGCTATGGCAACAATATTAGCAGCTACTGAGAGACGTGATGCAGCGGCTAAGAGACAAAGAGAAATAGTTAATCGAGAAAACGAGATGATTAGAGAAGCATTTAATTGAGAAAACGAGATGCTTAGAGATGAAAGGATGGCTCAAGCAGATCGTGACACTATGAACAAGCCTCTAGTAGGATTGTCTCCGAATTCAAAATATTTTTTGACATCGGAAAAAAGAGATATGGTACGAAGGAGGTGTGCAAAAGACGTGGAAACAAGTCGAGGGGGTTTTAGCTACACAGATCCTAGCACCACACATCCTAGCTCCACAGACTTTGTATAATTTTGTATTTATTTTTAGTACTTTATTTAATTTCGTCTTAATTTTTAGTACTTTATGTAATTTCATCTTTATTTAATCCTATCCGAAATTAAAACTATTTTTTATTTATTATTTTATAAACAATTTAATAATAATTTAAATGGGTTTGGTGCCAGCGCTTTTTGTAAGGGTAAAGATCGTTTGTGACAGCGCATTTTTTAGAGGTGGATATGCATTTGACCTATTACTGTTCATTATGATCTATCACTGTTCACTGAGTGGATTAAATGAGCTGGGTGCTGATGTATTTTTTTAGAGGTGAACTTGCTCTTATGGTCGGATATGGTCTGCTATTGTAATGTAAACGCATTTTGTATCAAGCTTCTTACATTTAAGTCAAATTACAAAATGACAATTCGACGTACCACCTAGTTGGCCGACGTGACATGCAGGTAGATTTGATTTAGTTTAGGCCTAAAATGTTGTCAGTTCCTTCCTAGCTAGGAAGATGTTATTGTTTCTAGAAAATAAAAAAAAAGCCTTTCTTAATTTAAAACAAATATATGCAAAGAGTGTTAGATAAGTAGCTGAGTTTTAAAATCTCTGAGTGTTGGTCCCTGTAGTTGTTATAATGTGGAGTAGCGATCATTTTGACTAATGAACTTCCATCTAAAATTAAAGGGTTTAAGGAGACCAAAAAAAAAAAAAGTAGAATTCCTTAGTTAAAAAACCTTTACTCCACCTCCAATTTTCTCTTTGACTTGTTCTTAAAAATTATTGTAGCCCGGCTAAGTAGGCTTTTGTAATCGAATCACAAAACACACGCTCTGACTAGATTTCAAAGTGTACCAAAAACAAGAGGGGATGGGAAGGGTATGGGATGGGAATGGCAGACAATCCAGGTATCGGACGAACCTGGATTGTCTGCCCTCCCCCACCTCATCCCCTCATATTTATGTGATCATGGTTAAATCACGTCAACATTTTATATTCTCATTATTTTTTGTCTTATTATTTTTATAAAAAAATCAATATAAGATGTTGACGTGGCTTAACCGTGATTACAGAAATAGGAGGGGATGAGAAGGGTATGGGATGGGGAGGCTAGACAATCCAAGTACCGGACTTTGCTAAGTAGATATGTAAAGGTGATCATGCATGCTGTGTTTCTGTTTGACCTTCACTCACAATCTGCGCCACGGCCATTTTATTTTACATTTAATTCATTTACCATACATTTCAACATTAATGTTCCAATACGACGAGTTCATGAGGCTCTGAGCCAATGAGGATCTTATTACTCACTACAAGAACGCCCCAGCTAAAAGATAAGATGAAAAACACATACCAGATGAGTCTCGGTTAATATGCGATATCAATGGATTCAAAACCCTTGGCAATTGATGCCTTGACAGCATCGAGTACGATCTGTGTCTTCCGACTAAGGGTTGGCCACTTCTTCTCAGGTTTTGCACCATTTTTAATAGCCCCTACCAAACGAGCAAACTCTCTTACCATGAGGACCTCCTGCGGAAGATCTGTGGTCACAATGTGACGACTTGGTGATGGAACCCAACAGGTGACAAATTCATCAAATCCACTTTGTGAAGCTGCAGAAAAAGCGGCTTCTTTCTCTTCATGAGGGATAACAAAACCATCAACATGCAGAGTTCCCTTTGTACCGACCGCAGTTATATCCATCGTCAAACTTGATAAGAAAGAGCAGTGGAAGGTTGCCACTTTCCCATCTTCCCAATGCAAAGACGCCCCACAAGATAAAATCACGCCTGCTTCATTAAGCACAGGGTCCCGCAAAGCAATTACAGTTTTTGGCAGTTCATAGTTATTGGCCCACAAAATTGCTCTTATACAGTACCACCCTGCATCCCCAAGAGCCCCATGAGCATCAAGGTCTGGCTTCACCCGGATATCATTCTTGAAAAATTCAGGATCACAAGGAAATGTAAAGACAGTGTGTATCTGTGGCACACAAAGAGAATGTTTTCAGAACAATAGCCGAACCAAATTTCAAAAATACAAGTCAAGGGGGTGGCACAAACAAAATATAGTCGCCTAATCGCACATATTATCTGATCTCTGCCACTGCAATTTGAATGAATATACATGCTGCCTGTGCAGAATATATTTGTAGAATGCTCAACATTATAGTAACAACCAAAGCACCAATCCAAGTGTACAAAGTAAAACAAACAAGTTTCGTCAGTCAGGATTAATATAGTACTATAGTTTCTGGATTATATGTAATTGGGACACACAATGCACAAAACTGCTCACGCAAACGACATTAATTACAGTTATTTTATATGAAAATTGCCAAAATACTTCAAGCCTGGGAGCCTGAAGCAAATGTCAGTAGCATGTCCTATTACAAGGCTAGTATGCAGTCTTTAAATCATTGGATTTGGATTAGTAAAGCCTATACCCTAATCAATCCGAATCCAGTGTCATCGCAGTTATGTGCATGGGCTAGCCAAATAAACATTTCCCTCTTTTAAAACAAAAATACGACTAGTCCCAGCCTTACTTTTCACAATGAAGCTAATCTTTCCTTTTTTTTCTGGTTCTGAATAATTCTAATCCCATCAGCTTTCTTTGAAGTATAGGCTATAGAGGGCCTAAAAGGCTGAACAAATATCTGAAGTTAGGATGTTTGTAGATTAAAAGTAATATGTGCTGTATTCTGCTTCGTGGAAAAAGCTGGTAAAGTGGCTCATGGATAAGAAGGCTGCGAAAGTAGATGATGGCAATGTAGTTAAAGTGTTAAACTAATAAAACCTTATGCAGGTTCAACAAAAAAAGGTTATCAGTTAGATTGGCAACTATAAATAATAGATAGGTTTCGGAACAAAAATATTATGAGACCAATGCAAAAGGCTAAAACCGTGCAAGTTTACTAATCAACGAGTTTCAAAACGCGCTAAGCAGGAAAAAACAAACATTAAAGGAATTGGCAGTATCATTACAATGCCTATTGGTCCGTGACACTACCACTCCACACAATGGAACAATGATGCATTGCATAACAAAATGCTAGTTGAAATTTGAAAACTAAATACTGACTCTTTTTTGTGGTAGTGGAATAAAGCATTCACCGTAGTCCTCAATTAAAGAGCTACTGCATATTACTGCACTCAGTTTTAATAATCAAATACTTGACCAATCTGGACAAACGCGCTGTCACTAGCACAATGTTCTTTCATAAAAGTCCGCTAAATACCCATGTGTTCAACACTTGCGGCATTGATACACAGATTATTCCAGTAACCAAAACATACTTTGTGTCGTCGCATCCGTAGTCTTCAAGGAAAACAAGTGAAAATTTGTTTTAATGGACGTCCAATTTCAACATCTGAGACGTCCAATTTCAACATCTGAAAGTTAACCTCTTTCTGTTAACGAAAACATGAGAAAAAAGGATTTATCAAGAAAGATCATGCAAAGTAATCAAATTTCAAGAACCACTGGTCCATCAGTGCGAATACAAATCACTTGCAAATGAGACAGTCATCCAATCCCACTTAACAAATTGGGGAATCGGGTTTAAAACCCCCCATTATCTGGTCCTTTAACTTATGGTGATTAATCAAGGGGACATCACATGAGTATGTTATGAATCCATAAAGCCAAAAAAGGTCTAGGTGGTGACCCTTATCCTATTCTGTTGTCCACACTCAGACCTAAAAAGCATATACTATAAGTCCTAGATAATGTCCTCGTCCATCCACGCGTGCGGCTCTCAAGTTCCCAAAAAATCCTGTATGACAACATCCTCATTTTCGGCATATATTAGTACAAGTATGGAAATTTACGAACGCAAGTCCATATATTGACATCCCCACTCTCCTTTCCAGCTACATTTCAAACAACTAAAACCCGACATATCTTCCACACCGTCAGCCCTCAAATTATCCAACAAAACAACCAATAATTTCTGGAAATGTTCCCTCTCTACCTTCTAGGAAATCCGACGGCCCGTTTTGCTTCAAAACCATCTCTCATTTTCAATATAACCTTCTTATTTCAAATCCGAAATTCTTCGACCAGGACTACAAAATTCCAAACTTTCTCGACTAGACAAAGCAGCTAATCGAAAACAGAAAACAAGGACAGAGATTTATAAAAAAACTGCAATAGCAAATGGATCTTTCTATCTTTCTAGGATCTACAATTTGATGCAGTCCAACAAGCAGAAAGGCATACCGTTCTGAGCTGACCAAAACGGTTAGCATCGGCGAGAAATTCGGACATCTTGGCAGTCCTGGGGTGGTGCATCCACATGGTACCGTCCATGATCTGCACCCCATTGGATTCGCACGCCTCAGCGATCTTGTCAAACTCCGCTACGTTGAGCGCCACGGGCTTCTCGAGCAGGATGTGCTTCTTCTTCTGGGCGGCGAGGACGGCCCACTTGATGTGGAGGCTGGTGGGGAGCGGGACATAGACGGCGTCAACGTCGGGATCGTCCAGAACGGCGTCGTAGGAGCCGTAGATCTTGGCGGTGGGAGGGAAATTGTTGGCCTTGGCGAACGCCGTAGCCTTGTCGATAGAACGGCTTCCGACGGCGTAGAGTGTCGCGTTTGGGGCTCGAGTTATGGCCCGCGACACTTTCCGGGCTATTTCGGCGCAGCCCACAATTCCGAATCGGATCGGCGTTTCGGCGGACATTTCAGCGGAGGCAGGCAGCGGCAGCGGAAGTGGATGGGTAGCGTAGGTGTCACTCTGAGCGTGGTATATTCTGCTGGTTTTGTTTCCTACTGATACTCCAGAAACTTGTTTCCTACTGAATATTAAAGATTTTAGGGTAATGGACAAAAAGCTACCTGTATGGAATTGAGTTTAGTTTGGCCACAAGAAGCAAACGTCTTGAGATAATCGATGCTATAGGTTTGTGTGAAACCTTTCGCCACAATACGAGCCCTCTCGATGGAGCCATCAGCTTTTGTGTTTCAGGACCACCTACAGCCAACCGTACGATTGCCTATTGGTAACGTGATCAGTTCCCAAGTGTCGTTCTTCTTTAGAGCCTCTATTTCTTTTATCATAGCTTTCTTTCCTGATTGAGGGCTTTATTGGTATCACGATACTTTCATACCTCATCTTTTTAAAATAACAATGTCATACCTCATGTTACGAATTTATGTCAATGTCGTACTTCCGTCAGTTTTTCTGTTAATTTTTCTATTAAGTGTTGATGTGGCTAGATAGGGGGCCACTCACTAATCCATCTAGATTAAAATATAATATTTTAATCATTAAAAATTAAAAATTAAAAAAAAAATTATTAAATCTCTCTCTCCCCCATCTCTCTTGCCTCTCTCCGACCTCGACCCCGACCCCTTCCCACTCGTCCCCCTAACCTTCCTCCACCACCCTCTCTCTCGCCTCTCTCTCTCTTCTCTCTCTTTGTGGACACCCACCTACATCCCCAAAACCTTCCCACCTGCCCCCCAACCTTCATCCCCTTCACCCTTTCTTCCCCCCGCTCCCATCTTCTCTGCGCAACCTCTCCCTAAAAAAACTCTCCTCTCTAGAGCCCTTTGACCTCTCCGTCTCCCACCTTTGCTTCGCCACTCTCCCGCCCCGCCGCCCCTCCCTCTCAATCACCTACCTTGTTGTCAACCACAACATCTTCTACGCCGCATCGGGCCACGAGAAATGCCTCTTGATCTCGGCTGCGTTGAGCCTGAAGATTTGGTAGGACTCAGATTTCTGCTGCGTCGAGTCGATCAAGGCGCATGAGGACGCCGTGAATACGTTGGCAGTGTCGAACGATGAGATGGTGGACACCGGGTCGATGGATTGTCGAATCTGGGTGTGGTCCAAACCGTTCGGGGAAGACAAAGAAGACGGGAGCGGGGGTGAGATCTGGGTTGGGTGGTTCTAGTTTTGAGTTTGGAGCGGGGTGAGATCTGGGTTGGGTGGTTCTAGTTTTGAGTTTGGAGCGGGGTGGGATCTAGGTTGGGTGGTTCTGGTTTTGAGTTTAGGGAAGACGGAGCTAGGGAAAGAAAGGGTGAGGGGGAGGAAGGTTGGGGGGGACGGGTGGGAAGGGTTTGAGGGATGCAAGTGGGTGTCCAGAGAGAGAGAAGAGAGAGAGGTGAGAGAGAGAGGGTGGTGGAGAAAGGTTAGGGGGGATAAGTGCGAAAGGGTCGGAGGGGTCTAGTGGGAATGGGTCTTAGGGATGTAGAGAAGAGAGAGAGGCGAGAGAGATGGGGGAGAAAGAGAGAGAAGAGAGAGAGGCAAGAGAGAGATAGGGTGGTGGAGGAAGGTTGGGGGGGCATGGGTGGGAAGGGGTTTTGGGGATGCAAAGAAGAGAGATGGAGGGAGAAAGAAGAGAGAGAGGAGAGAGAGATTTAATAAAAAAAATTAAATTTAAAATTTTAATTATTAAATTATTATATTTTAATCTAGTTGGATTAGTGAGTGGCTCCCTATCTAGCCATGTCAGCACTTAATAGAAAAACTGACGGAGGTACGACATTGACACAAATTCGTAAGATGAGGTATGACATTGTCATTTTAAAAAGATGAGGTATGAAAGTGTCGTGACACCAATAGTTTGAGGTAGTTTTTTGTACTTTACCCAAGATTTTATTTATTTCACACATTTTAGGTTCAAATCTCTACGAATTTGATATTAAATTAAGTTGTTTATTGTTCGGCTTATCCAAATACTCAAAATATCAATGTACTAAAAAAACGACTTACAACATTTTAAGAGAAAATAATATATTGGTTTACAAAGCACAAAAGTGCTTCTGCCAAAAAACATCAGTTACACTCTTCTTAAGTGTAATAATAAAGTAACTCTTCAAAATTCACTGCTCTTTTACGAAGGACAAGGGGTTGTGGTGCTTTTAAAAAAATTTTGCTTATTAAAAAATATAAAACACCAAATATGTTGGTATAAAAAATGCTTTTGAAAAAACTGTTGCCAGTAGAAAAATATAGAAAATCTAGAACACCAAATGTGTTTGACAATATTAATTATTATGTCGCATTCAATATTATATCATTTTAGTTATTTAACATATTTACATAAATTTTATATAAAAATTTATCAAATATTCAGATATGTTTTTAGTTAAAAGCACTTTTACAAAAAAAGCATACCAACATATAACTTTATTGTACAAATATTTATTTTTATAATATAGCATAAATAGTTGTAAAAAATATATATTCTAAAACTATTTTTACCTTTTTCCAGTGTTCTAAAAATTGGCCTAGACGCTGGACGGTGGGCTTCTGTGGCTATTTTGGGCAAAACGTTTAATAAATCTGTGAACACGGAAAATTCCTGAAACGAAAGAGACAAGAACAACGTGCACAAAATAATATTTGTATTTGATGATTTTGGGTTACAATCTCTCTCTATTTTGATCCTCTGATTCGATCTCTGTAAGGTGTTGATTTGTGGATGTTTCGTTGATCCAAGGGTCGTTGAGGCTTGATCTTGGATGAACTGTTTGGAAGTTTCTTCAAGGGGCCGTGAGCTTGATCTTTGAAGGTGGATTTGAGCGGATCTTCAAGGAGCCGTTGGGGCTTGATCTTGAGGATGAATGTTTCTTCAAGGGCCGTTAAAACTTGATCTTGAATAACGGTGACGAACGTATCTTCAAGGGCTTTTGGGCTTGATCTTGAAGAACAGTGATGAACGGATCTTCAAGGACTTTTGGGCTTGATCTTGAAGAACGGTTGGATGTATGGATTTGTCGACGTTTGTTGATCCAAAGGGCCGTTGGGGCTTGATATTAGGATGAACGGATGATGAACGATGGTGCTTTCTTCAAGGGCCGTCGGGGCTTGATCTTGGAAGAACGAAGAACACTTTCTTCAAGGCCCGTCGGGGCTTGATCTTGGAAGAACGAAGAACACTTTCTTCAAGGGCCGTCGGGGCTTGATCTTGAATTGGTGGATGATTGTTGATCCAAAGGGCCGTTGGGGCTTGATCTTGGAAGAACGATGAACGAAGAACGAAGAAGGCTTTCTTGATTCTTCGAGAACCTGGATGCTTGAGAGCTTTGGAGTTTCAGAGCTTCAGAGCTTCAAGGTGTAATATGAATTGGTTCCCCCAAATGAATGAATTAGCCTTCTATTTATAGAAATTTCCAAGGCCTAATTTTGAATATAATATTCCAGATGAAATAAGTCGTTTCTGCCAGGTGTTGACACGTGTCATGTTTGATGACTTTTCCAACTTATTTCGATTTTTTGTTTAGACACACGCTACGTGTAAAATTTATGTATACATGAGCGTTAAAACTTTGATTTATCGGTCAACATTTATTTATCGAAATTTCGATGTCTACAAAATCGAAGAGGATTTAGGCGGCCGACTAGGCGGCGCTAGGCAGAGCTAGGCGGCCCTCGTCTCTTCGCTTTGCGTCTGTGCATACTAACCTGTTGATCTCTGTCACCACCGACAAGGACGCGCGCCTCTTTCCCAGAACTTTTGTGCATGAAAACGGAGAATCACCATGGTGGCTTGGAGGGAGTGATAGAGGGAGATGTGCAAAGGAGAGATGAAGGGTTAGAGGGAGTTGTTTTGAAGAAGAGAAGAAGATAGAGGGTTGAAGAGACCAAGATAGAGGGTTGTCTGTTACCTGTTGTTTTGAAGAAGAGAAGAAGATAGAGGGTTGAAGAGATGAAGATCTACAAGGCAGCAGGGAAAATAGTGGAAAATGGAAAAAGTGCCTAGTTTTATGGGAAAGTCCACAGCCTCATGATAAAAAAACATGTCTTGGTAACAGATAAAGATAAGGCAGTAAGGAAAATCGTGAAAAGTGGAAAAAGAGCCTACTTTTATGTGCAAGTCCATCAGCCTTATAATAAAAAATACATAAATAATAATTACCCATTCTGATGATATTTTATTATGTGTTCTGTTTTGAAAACAACATATATTATATTCTTATAATATAATATTTTATTACTTTTTGCTTTTTAAGCCTAAACTATGTTATACTTTTGCATTATATATGTATATCTTTTTCAAAAATAACGTATTACTAAATGTTTATTTATCTATTATATAGTAAATTTAACTAATTTATATGATATATATAATTATTTTATTCAAATCCGCCTAGGCATCTACTGCCTAGCCGTCTAGGCGCTAGATTCTACTCATCGCCCGACTAGCACCTAACGTTTTTTTAAAGGGAACTTTAACGAAAAGCACCTGTTACTGTTCACTTTAACTAAAAACCACATTTTTACACTAAAAAGTCAATCATGGTACTATTCACTTTACCCTTTATTTTATCCTTATTATTAAAATTCAAAGTTTTCAAACTTTTTTTCATTAGTTTTCTTTTTTTAAAACCTTGCTGTTTTTTCACATATATTTCGGCCTAAGTACGGAAAACAAAAGGCCCATTATCCAAAAAAGAAACGGCCGCGAAATGCAACGTTCACTTGCTGACAAACATTCTTCAACACTGATTTATTCATTCAATTCATACACGACTGCATAACACGAGTGGTTCAAATTCCACAAAACCTCCTCTCCAAATTCCAATCCGCCATACGCCCATTTCATAATACACCACACCACTCACTTTCCCACCAATCCAGTTCCTCCTCCACTTCTTCGCTTCCCTTCCGGAAAATGATTCTCCGCCTTCCCTCGCCTTCTCTCCCCTCCTCCTCCCTTTCCCCTTCCGCACCCAACCCCCTCCGGCGGTTCTCTTCATCCTCTTTCCCCCGCCCCCGCCGTCGTCGCTCCATTCTGCGATGCGCCGCCGGAAACGACGTCGTCGAACTCGACGCCTTCACCAAGAAGTCGGGCTAC